AAGTTTCCAAGCTAGTTCTTTTTTCCTCTTCTATACTCTTCTCCCGCCCCTGAATAGCACTATGTATCTGTTATCACAATTGTTTAAGCTAGAATCCTCAGAGCCAGTTTTTCTTTTAACATTTAATATGCTTTTTATTTTAGAATAGTTTTAGATTTACAAACAGAGCCATTTTTGAATATTGTTTCTCCTCACGCCTACATTCTATTAGCAATTAGTCGCCAAGAACTGTGAGTTCTACCTCTGAAATTCTTTGTCTATCTACTTCCCTTTTGAAAAAGCTCTCATTTTCACCTGCAATACTGCAAAAGCCTCCTCCCACCTTCCATCAATCCCTGTTGCTAGCACTAGCTCTCTAAAGCATCAATCCAGTAATTTAAAAAACAGTTTAGGGCTTCCCTGGTGGCGCAGTGCTTGAGAGTCCGCCTGCTGATGCAGGGGACACGGGTTCGTGCCCCGTTTCGGGAGGATCCCACATGCCGCGGAGCGGCTGGGCCCGTGAGCCATGGCCGCTGAGCCTGCGCGTCCGGAGCCTGTGCTCCGCAAATGGGAGAGGCCACAACAGTGAGAGGCCCGCATAACGCAAGAAAAAAAAAAAAAAAAAAAAAAAAAAAAAACAGTTTAGGGGCTTTCCTGGTGGCTCAGTGGTTAAGAATCCACCTGCCAGTGCAGGGGACACGGGTTCGAGCCCTGGGTCCGGGAAGATCCCACGTGCCGGGGAGCAACTAAGCCCGTGCACTACAACTACTGAGCCTGCGCTCTGTAGCCCACGAGCCACAACTACTGAGCCCATATGGCACAACTACTGAGCCTGTGTGCCACAACTACTGAGCCCGTGTGCCACAACTACTGAAGCCTGTGCGCTTAGAGCTCGTGCTCCGCAACAAGAGAAGCCACCGCAATGAGAAGCCAGCGCACCGCAATGAAGAGTAGCCCCCGCTCACCACAACTAGAGAAAGCCCCTGTGCAGCAATGAAGACCCAGAGCAGCCTAAATAAGTAAATAAATAAATAAAAATTTTTAAAAAGAGACTTCAGTTTTAAGCTGGGCTCCCCTGCCCTCCCTGCCCACAAGCCCCTTTCTATGACCTCAACCTCATGGAATGATAGGATAAAAGGACTCTGGTGGAACCAAAACATATTGTTATTAACAAGCCTTCTTTTTTAATTAAGAGATTCCAAACCAAACAGTACCAACGTCAGCGGAATGGTGTGGGAGGAGGTGTGGAAAAAGGAAATCATTCCAGGCTCATTGCTAAGACATCAAAATAGCTTTTCACATTTGGTCTCATCATTAGACTGAGTCTCCTGAGCACTAAAGATTCTTGAGAGCCCACCCAGACTCTGAGAATGACAGCACTTTCTGTTCCAAAGAGCCCACAGCCGGGTGTGCTTGGCCTGCTCTCCAGGCAGCGTCAGCCACACATTCCGGCTGCAGGCTCTGCCCTTTACTCTGCAAAATGAGAACTAACAAGTGATTGCTTGATACCCATCAGCATCCTCTGTCAAAGTAAACACAAGACTCTATACTGAATGGACATTTTTTCTTCTTTCTTTAGTTAATTAATTAGTTTATTTTTTGGCTGCGTTGGGTCTTTGTTGCTGTGCACGGGCTTTCTCTAGTCGCAGTGAGCAGGGGCTACTCTTCGTCGCGGTGCGTGGGCTTCTCATTGCAGTGGCTTCTCCTGTTGCAGAGCACAGACTCTAGGCACGTAGGCTTCAGTAGTTGTGGCACGTAGGCTCTAGAGGGCAGGCTCAGTAGTTGTAGCACATGGGCTTATTTGCTCCGCGGCATGTGGGATCTTCCTGGGCCAGGGCTCAAACCCATGTTCCCTGCATTAGCAGGCGGATTCTTAACCACTGTGCCACCATAGAAGTCCCTGAACGTCTTTTAATTGTTGATTTCTTGATTGTGGGCAGTGCAGTGAGGTACGAAGTAGACTATGTGTTTTATTTTATGGATTGAGAATAAATAAATATTCCAATTCTGTTTCTATAGGCATTGGCAAAAGATAAAAGTGATGAATGGTTTGCTGCACAAAATAAACCAAAGGCTTCAGGTTAACGGAAGACATCACATGGAACAAGCATTAGTGATTCCTGTCGAACACCTGTGAGGCCTGATGTGTGCGTTATGTGACAAATGTTCTCACAACTTGGTGGTTTCCTGTATAGGCAGAGAGGCTGGGTGGTGAAGATTTGTGTATTTTTATCTTTGAGAGCTCTGATATATTTTAGAGAGAAAATCCTATCATTATCAGTCCATTTAGAGGAGAGCTCTTGCTGTCATCTGTGCCATCCCTGGAAGGGTACATTTTTTGTGTAACTGTATTACATTAGTAATAAATTCTTCTGCAGCCTGGGACAGCTGTATTGAACAGGACCTTTGGTTGGGAATGGAGGGAATTTTGATAAGTATGTAGTTTTAATGAGAACAAATAAACCCAAATCAGTTGCTTACAGCAGGAGTACTTCCAGTACCTCGTGACAGTATGCTGTTCTAATGTCTTAACTCTGGCAGGCCTTGACCAATAAAAACTTTTAAAGAAATTTTGTGCCTTGAACCAAAAGACTTGGTTAACATTCCCACATTCTTTGCTTTAAATTTTTGAGTAGCCAGAGAAAACAGACAAAAGGATCTAATGTGTTATGTTGCTACACGCCTGGCTCTGTGCTAGTTTCTCTCTCTCCCTCTCTCCCTCTCTATATATTTTTTCTTTTAATCCTCGTAAGAAGAGACCATGTTAGATTTCTTAGTGATGGATTAGATGATTTCTTCAGCGTGAAAAACTTTTAAAAAATATTTCTTGTTTTCTATTTGATTCTGCAGAACAAATCAGTTTTAATCACTGGAAATAGAATTAAGTTGGGCATAGTTATTATGAAATGTTTTTTGAAATTATGCTTCTGAAATCAAGCTGTTACAACCAACCTGTAAGACTCATTATTTAAAGTGGTTGCCAGGTTCAAACTATAGGGAAGAAACTGATGAGATTGGAAAGGATTGACTCAGAAGATACCGGTTCCTGTACAATATACATGAAATTACTTGTAAATCATAGCCTCTGCTGTTCTCCCTTGCTGGCAGGCTAGGGTATGGAAATTTCAGAGTGAGTTTCAGCTCACCTTCTGATAGGGCTATCTTACCTTCACTGAGAGGAAAAATTTATTTCCCAGCTCCACAGCACTTTTCATTCCACTTAAATTCTCAATCTTAGGGAAGCAATTGTGAGTTTCAAAGCAAATCAAGCTATGTTCCTCCTGTCGACAGTTGGTTCACTTTTTTTTTTCTATGCATGGGGAAATTATTATATGAATTTTGAATAATCAAGTAAATGCCTCTGTCTCCTTTAGACTATGATTTGTTAATTCTCAGATTTTCTAATTAATTAATAATTAGATTATTAATTCTTGATGTTTATCTCTGGTAATACTGTTCTCCTGAAAAGAAACTATACTTCTCCCGGTGTATTAGGCTGTTGTGATGTGGCCTTTCTTTTTTTTTGGCTGCACTGCACAGCATGTGGGATCTTAGTTCCCTGACCCGGGATTGAACACGCACCCCCCTGCATTGCAAGGTGGAGTCTTAACCACTGGACCGCCAGGGAAGTCCCTGATGTGGCCTTCTAAGTTTGTTATAGTAAAATAAGTGGTTTATGTAAGTACTAAACACATGCCAGATTTCTCTTTATCTGTTTATCTTATGTTGTAACATACCCCCAATTTTTTCTCTTAAATGTACAGCTATGCATGAGAGAACTGAATGCTGCTTATCTACCTGGGACATTTTAGCTTCATGATATCAGCCTCCTTTTATTTCTCTCATTGCCTGTCATTTTTCCTTTGTTGCAGTCTTTAATATTTTATTCATCGTAAAACCATTTATTGTACCACTTTGGCCTTTTATCAAGCAATCCAAAAGTTTACCTCTGCACAGGGCAGCTAGTAATTTTAAACCAAAAGTTACTACTTTCCCATCTCTGGGAATGGTATAATCAGCTACAAAACAAGGTTTAAAGATAGTTTTGCCCAAGCTGGTGTTTTTAAACAGATGAAGTTGGGAAGTTCCTCAGTTTCTCCAGAGTTGTGTTTTCAGAGTAGTCATTTTATTTTTCGACTTGAGGGGTTGTGGTCCTAGCATATTAAGTTGAAGTTCAAATATCTCTTGAGTTTAAATCCAGAGAGATTTAGAATGGCTGTGTTGTGGAGTTCTCCTAGGTTAGCCTGTAAAGTTAGTATGAAATCCATGTTTGTCTGACGTCTGAATGGAATCAGCAAAGCCAGGGACATTTAGTGCTCCTTAATATGACTTTCTGCCCATCTCACCTGTTCCACAATGTCCTTGTGAGTCGGAGAGTTTCCAGGAGGACTCCCCGTCGGCCACTGAAATTTATGGTAAGAGTTGATGGGAAGAGACCCGCTGCGGGGGAGGAAGCCTCTCAGGGAGTGGTGAGTCCATGCGGGTTAGTGGGCAGCCTGGGTAGGGGCATTCAGTGAGGGTGAACTGTGGCGGGGGTGTGAGGAATCCGGGGATTACTGGGTGCGGGAGAATGCGGGGCCAGGGACGGAGCTATAGGTAGGACAGACTGGGGCCCAGGAAGCAGGGAACTGCAGAGACGCGCGGCCGAGCGGAGCCTGGGCTGGGAGGGGGCGGTCGTTTGGGGGCCGGGCTCCGGGTAGAGCGGGCGTGGGGGTGGGGGGCACGCCGTGGGATGGAGGCGCGGGTACCTGCCTGTTGCCTTGTTGGAGGCCTCGGGCCGATAGGGGGAGCTGTGGGCCTGGCGGTCCCGATGCCGCGGGCGCTTAGGTGGGACCGCGCGTGCGCGCGGAGCGGCGGACATATGCCGGGGTCCTCGCAGAGCCCGAGCTGACACTGCGGGCGGGAACCGAGGCACCGCCCATTGTCCCGCCCCCGGGACCGCCCCTTCTGCCGTGACGCTTGCGCCGCCCTCGCGGCCTGGCGGGGGAGGGGCGACCCGCGCCGCAGCCAGCGTCGCCGCCATGGATCTAGGTGGGTGTTCGGTTCCTCTGGGCCCGCGTGGGCCGCGTTCAGCAGCCGGCGACCAGGCAGTGCTGAGCAGGCCCGAGCTGAGGGAGACCTCCGGGCCGGGGAGGGGGTTGGGAGGGCGGGGGTGTCCTGGAGACCGGGGGTCGGGGGGCCGGGCTCTAGCCCGCCCCTCTTCCGCTCGCCTCTTGCCGGCTCCAGGCCCCTTTCCACGTGAAGGGGCTAGCGGATGTGAAGTTAACGTTCGCGAGAGTGGACAGGTTAGGGCACGTGCTTTGGAAAAGGCCGGGCTCCGGCGGCGCCCCGGGGAATCTCGTATCCCCAACGATCTCATTTATTGAACGCCTACTAAGTTCTTGAGCAAGCGTCTGACGCTCTTGAAGTCCTCGTGGATAAACGGGGATGATGATACCGTATCAGCCTCACAGAGTTTGGGGGAGTTTTCACTGAGATCACGTGTGTACAGTGTCGAGTCCGGTGCCTTGCGCAGGGCTAGCGTTCTTCAGACCAGCAGTCGTGGGCACGGGTTGCAGCAGCCGAGGCGGCAACGTGCGTCTTCATTCTCCAGATGCCAGGTCTGGGAGAAGGGAGGGGAGAGCTGGTATAAATCGGCGGCTCCTTGCCCAGCCTCCCCCGCTGCTGGATGTGCTCTTAAGGGCATAAGACCAAGAGGCTGTTGTTCTGGGACAGCTGGGGTGAGGCTCCCCAAGATGTGCCAGTATTAGTAGGCTGTTGAGAAATGTTCTGGTCCCTGTCCCGAGCCAGCTCTTCCGTGGTGGAAGGGTAGAGTTGGAAGAGTTTGGAGCCCTGCAGCTGGGGTGATCTCTGTCCCAGCCCACCGCTTTGCAGTTCCGACCACCCGAGCAAATTGTTTGAGTCTTAATGTTTCCATCTCTAAAACAGGAATGATCCGCAAAAGGTTGATCTGACGATGAAAAGATACACATAACCAACTAGCACAGTGCCTGGTACAGAGTAAGCGCTTAAACATAAGGAGCGGGCACTCACAAGCGCCAGTTAACCATTCGTGATAAAACACTTGGGATTCGCCCAGCCATTAACTGCTTCTGGGACTTACTCCTTCAAGTGGCATGAGTATATACTTACCGTCTCTGGAAGGTGGGTCTCGGGGGCCAAACATCTCAGCTGAGCGGACCCCCAGGGAGACCTCTCAGCAACCTGGCTGTTCCTGGGAGTCTGCCTCAGCCACTGGGCACCAAGATGGATTGCCTTCACCAGTGGGTTGCATAGGAGTGCTGTTCCAGATGGAAGGGGCAGGATAGTCTCCTGGCCCATGAAAACGGGGAAGCTGTGTTCTTGGGGGCCTGAGGGACTGAGGAAGGGGCCCTGGGAAAGGGGAGAGGAGTCAGGAACATTGAAGAGTGAGCAATGTTTGTACAATGATTTAGTTTCTGGGCCAGAGGAAATATACCTAAGACTTATGTCCTGTTTCTGAGCTGGAGGAGGCAAAGAATAGGGACAAGATTCTGGTCCTGGCAACAGTGGAAATGTTTGGGAGAACCAGCGTTTATCGAGCACTTAGGCTCTTTGTAGCCTGATTCTTTTTTTGTGGTACGTGGTCCTCTTATTGTTGTGGCCTCTCCCGTTGCGGAGCACAGGCTCCGGACGCACAGGCTCAGTGGCCGTGGCTCACGGGCCCAGCCGCTCCACAGCATGTGGGATCTTCCCGGACCGGGGCACGAACCCGCATCCCCTGCATCGGCAGGCGGACTCTCAACCACTGCGCCACCAGGGAAGCCCACACCACTTTTAAATGGCTGAGCTAAGAGTTAAACCCATGTCTAATTAAACATCCCAAGATGCCTTCCTTGCTAAGTCTGTGTCAACTCAGGGCTCACTGAAGAAGGACTTTTCTGAATCTAGTACAGTATTTTTTTCTATCTACTTCTTGGCTTCTACCAGAGAACCAGGACCATTAGTAGCTTATTCTCTTTGATGGAAAGAGCTGTGGGAATTGAACTGTTTCCCCAAAAGTTAGAACGTTTGGATTCTGTTTCCAAGACAAGGCTTTAAGAGAAAAAAGAGAAGCAGGGCTTGTCTGAGTGCTGCTGTGCAGACAGTCCTGGTCCACGCCCTTCCTAGTCTGTATCGTTACTTAGAAGCTCAGTTGTCAAGTCCTGCAGTATGTACTTGGTGGCCGCTGTAGTTTGGTACTGTCCTTGCGCTCTTTCTCTTTCTCTCTCTCAGTCAGCCCTTCTTCCCCAAATCTTCTGCTGGCCCATCCTTTGCTGGAGGGCCTTGCCTCTGGGCAGCCTCCTTCCTGAGTCACATTTCAAGGTTGACTTTCCTCCTGCGCTTCAGCCCCGTGTTTCCATTGCCGGAGGACGTTTCTCCCTTAATGTTCTACCTCAAACTCCAAATGACCAAAACGTTATCAGTGTTCCTTCCAAGCACATCTCTCCGTGTTCCCTGTTTGCAGTAGTGCCCGTTGTCTTCCCAGGTCCAGGCTAGAGAGCTTGGGAGTCCTTTTTTATTCCTCAGGTTAATCCTTTGACTTCAGCTCTACAGCGGGTCCTAGAACCACCCCTTCTTCCCCCTCTCCCACTGATTACATTCAGAACCCTTTTCATCTCTAACCCTAATAATGACAGCACGCTGACTAACTGCTGCCTCTCCCTCTAACCTCTGCTTGCTGTTCTGAAAATTTTTCACCACATTCTATCCTATTGGACTTCTGTCTGTGCAGGACCTTTGAATATCTGTGAAGAAATGACTGTTTTGCATGGGGGCTTCTTGCTGGCCGAGCAGCTGTTCCGCCCCAAAACACTGGCAGAATTGACCAAGTCTGACTGGGAGCATGTCGGGCGGCCGATTGTGGAAGCTCTGAGGGAGATCTCCTCTGCCACGGCCTGCTCCCAACCCTTCGCCTGGAAGAAGAAAGCTCTGATTATCATCTGGGCCAAGGCTCTGCAGCCCTACCCTGTCACGCCTTCTGACACTGAAACCCTGTGGCAGGAAGATGTGTTCTTCTCCGTGGGCAGCATGATCCCCACCATCAATCACACGGTTCTCTTTGAGCTGCTCAAGTCCCTGGAAGCTTCCGGGCTCTTCATCCAGCTCCTGATGGCCTTGCCCACTACTGTCTGCCGTGCAGAACTAGAGCGCTTTTTGGAGCACGTGACTGTCGACACTTCTTCAAAGGACGTGGCCTTCTTCCTCGACGTCTGGTGGGAAATGCTGAAGCACAAGGGCAGCCAGCAGGACCCCCTGCTCTCCCAGTTCCGGACGGTGGCCCATAAGTACCTGTCCTCTTCAGAGGAGTTCTCCCACCCTCCAAAGAGGTTTAAGTCTGACCCGGATGTGTGTCCTACCATGCCCCTGCTGGCCACGCTGCTCACTGGGCTGAAGCAAATCCAGGATAGGATCCTGTGCCCCGGGATGAAGTGCTGCGCCTTGGCCAACTTGGCTGACATGCTCACCGTGTTTGCTCTGATGGAGGACAACCCCCAGGAGGTGTCTGCCACTGTGTATCTAGACAAACTGGCCACGGTGATCTCCGTGTGGAACGCGGACACCCAGAACCCATATCACCAGCAGGCACTGGCAGAGAAGGTGAAGGAGGCAGAGCGGGACATCAGCCTGACCTCACTGGCCAGGCTGCCGAGCGAGACGATCCTCGTGGGGTTCGAGTTCCTGCACAGCCTGCTGCGGGAGTGGCGGGAGGAGCTGCGGGCCACGCTCGGCGGCAGCCAGGGGACGAGCTACAGCAGCTACCGGCTGTGCGACAGCCTGACCTCCTTCAGCCAGAACCTGAAGCGCTACCTGGACACCACTAGCCTGTCCAAGGAAGAGAGGCAGGTGGCCTCTGAGCTGGCGGAGTGCGTGGGGGACTTCCTGAGGGACACGAACAGGGTGCTGAAGAACAAGGGCTTCGAGAAGGACATCACTGCCTCCATCGCCATGGCCATCATTGAGCAGAAGATGGACCGGCACATGGAAATGTGCTACATTTTCGCTTCTGAGAGGAAGTGGGCCTTCTCGGATGAGTGGCTGGCCTGCCTGGCCAGCAGCCGGGCTGTCTTCCGGGAGCCCGGCCTGGTGTTAGAGCTGCTGGAAGCAGTGGTGGATGTCAGCGCGGCAGACGGGGCTGTCCCCAGACCCCAGATCAAACAGGTCATCGACTTGATCCTGGAGTGTCATGCACACCTCTCGCTGCCAGATAAAAATAAAGTCCTCTCGGGCGTCCTGCTCTCCTGGGGGCGCAAGGGCCTCTCTGAGAAGCTGTTGGGTCACTTGGAGGGGTTTCAGGACGACCTCAACACGACTTTTAACCAGCTCACGCAGAGCACTTCTGAACAGGGCTTGGCTAACGCCATCGCTTCTGTGGCCCGCCTAGTCATTCTGCACCCGGAGATCACGGTGAAGAAAGTATGCAGCATGGCCGTGGTCAACCTTGGCACCCACAGGTTCCTGGCTCAGATTCTCACCGCCTTCCCCGCCCTCAGGTTCGCAGAAGAGCAGGGTCCAAATCCCTCCACGATGATCGTGGTGTCCTGCCTCAAGGAAACAGTCTGGATGAAGTTCTCTACACCCAGGGAAGAGAAGCAGTTTCTGGAGTTCCTGAGATGCCTGGTGAATCCTGTGAAGCCCCAAGGGATTCCAGTTGCTGCTCTTCTCGAGCCAGATGAGGTGCTAAAGGAATTCGTCCTGCCTTTCCTGATGCTCGATGTCAAAGAGGTGGACCTCAGTCTGAGGATCTTCATCCAGACTCTGGAAGCAAACACATGTCTAGAGGAATACTGGCTGCAGACCTGCTCTCCGTTCCCACTCATCTTCAGCCTGTGCCAGCTCCTGGATGGCTTCGGCAGATACTGGCAGCTCCCCAAGGAGAAGCGCTGCCTCCCCCTGGACGGGAAGGACCCGGTGATCCACATCCTGGAGCTCCTCTGCGAGGTGGTGTCGGCTAACGCCGAGACCTTCTCCCCGGACACCTGGGTCAAGTCCCTGTCCTGGCTCCACTGGAAGCTGGAGCAGCTGGACTGGACTGTGGGCCTGAGACTGAAGAGCTTCTTTGAGGGCCACTTCAAGTGTGAAGTGCCAGCCACGCTCTTTGAGATCTGTAAGCTTTCTGAGGACAAGTGGACCTGCCAGGCCCACCCCAGGTATGGGCCCGGCACAGGCCTCCTGGCCTGGATGGAGTGCTCCTGCATCTCCAGCAGCATCTCTGAGCAGATGCTCGCCCTGCTGGTGGTGGATGTGGGCAACCCTGAGGAGGTCAGGTTGTTCAGCAAGGGCTTCCTGGTGGCCCTGGTGCAGGTCATGCCGTGGTGCAGCCCCCAGGAGTGGCAGTGCCTTCACCAGCTGACCAGGAGACTGTTGGAGAAGCAGCTCCTGCATGTCCCCTACAGCCTGGAGTATATTCAGTTTGTCCCTCTGCTCAACCTGAAGCCCTTTGCCCAGGAGCTCCAACTCTCCGTACTCTTGCTGAGAGCTTTCCAGTTTCTCTGCAGCCAGAGTTGCCATAACTGGCTCCCTGTGGAAGGCTGGAGCCACGTGGTCAAGCTCCTCTGCAACAGCCTGACCAACCTCCTGGACTCTGCTCGGTTGATACAGTCAGTTGGCCCTTGGGCCCAAGGACAAGAGCAGGACCTGACCCAGGAAACCCTCTTTTTTTACACCCAGGTGTTCTGTCACGTTCTGCACATCATGGCCATGCTCCACGAGGAGGTGTGTGAACCACTGTATGTTTTGGCCTTGGAGATCCTCACCTGCTACGAAACCCTGAGCAAGACCAACCCTTCTGTCAGCTCCTTGCTCCAGAAAGTAAACGAGCAGCACTTCTTAAAGTCCATCGCCAAGAACATTAGCCCCGAGGAGTGGCGCCAAACCCTCCTGCAGAAGATCAGCAACTTCTGACCTTCGTGGGTCAGAAAACAGCTGGGCCTCAACTTGGCCAGGTCTATGGGGGCTACAGCTGAAAAACACAAATTTTTCGGTTATGTGAAATTGTACACAAGCCCAAAAATCTGACAACATTGTAAAGAAAATAGTTTCTTAGGTATTTGTAACATACAAATTGTAATAAAATTCTCTTTTGAGTTTTATCTTGCCTCTTTTGAGACTTTCTTATCAATAGTCTAGGCTCATCAGTACACTCTGAAATTGGGCGCAGCCAGTCGTGAAGATCAAGTCAAGCTGGGAGGAGCGTGTTCATCGCTGGGCTTCTCCACCCTAGAATCTGGCAAATAAGTCTAAAGGTGAAACCACCCAGGTGGACAAACTACAAGGTACGTGTGTTCTGTTGCACTGAAACGCTCTTTAAGAGTCATTTCGCAGTATCTTGGAAAGGGCAGGAACTAGGAAAGGGACTCTTTTCTGCTACCAATTGGCCATGTGATTTGTGTGCCCACAAGGCCTGCAACCAGTGTAAAAGGAGAGGGTTGGACCAAGAACATTAAATGTTGGGTGGGTGGGAGGGAGGTAAGTGACCTCAGGAAAATGGGTCTCTTCTGAATCGAGGACTTCTGCCCCACAGTGTTAACTTTGTCCATTCAGTGGATCTCAAAGGGGCTGTGCTGATACTGTCCGGTAATCACCACAGAGACATGTTTAAAGGATGGGTGTAATTATCTTCTGCCTGGGGTGGGTTGTCGTGGGTTGGTTGGTTGGTTGGTTTTTCTGTTTGTTTTATTTATCTATCAGGTCTTAGTGTGGCAAGTGGGCTCCTTAGTTGTGGCTCATTGGCTCCTTAGTCTTGACTCGCCAGCTGTTTTAGGTGCGGCATGCGAACTCAGCTGCGACATGCATTTGAGATCTAGTTCCCTGGCCAGGGATCGAACCCTGGCCCCCTGCACTGGGAGCGTAGCGTCTTAACCACTGCACCACCAGGGAAGTCCCGGTTGTCACGGTTTTGAAGAACATGTGGGAGCAGGGAATGGTGTGTGCAAATGCATGCCCGGGATATATTCCAGAACCATGAGGACTCGTTAGGGAAGTGTTTAATTGGGAGGCAAGGAAGGACAGCTCCATACCCCCATCACAGTGAGGCAGTATTCAAGTTCCCTCCCCCCACACCTAAAGTGGGCTGGCTCTGTCTGCGGCCTACAATTGGGTTTCCGCCCTCCTGACTCCTAGTTGGGATTCACCTGGGAAGAGAAGAAAGGGCCTAAAGTTACGTGACCACTGGGCTAGAACTCTGCAGTGTACTCTTGGCACCGTGAATTACAGAAACATGTTAGAGTGAGGTATGAGCTAGGCTCTGCTGGAGGCTGAAGGCATTCACACACCCCCTTCCCCTGCAACAGCCCACCTCTGCCAGTTACATGGAGAAGAAAACAGAACAGAAACAATAGCACACAGCAGCCATTCAGGCTGGTCACAGGACAGGTCTTACCAGAAGTCGGCGTGGATATATTTCACAAATGAGAATAAGTTGGAAAATATTAGTGCAACTTAGTCACCACAGGGGTGATTTATAAAGATATACGGATAGTAAACAAAACTACTACTAGTAAAAAAAAAATGACAGCATTTTGTGTTTTAAATGGCACCCATTAAAGACTGAAAGTCAAAATTTGAGACACTGTTACACACTCAGTACTTTAAAAGTTCACAGACAACAGTGAATTAAAAGGCACTTTTAAAAATCTAGTTTTTCGCTACTGCTTGGGAAAAAACTTCATGGTAGCAGTTTCTAAAACCCATCGTTGTTGTTCAGGAACAATTAGTGTTGGCACCAGAGGATCCCATCTGTAAATGGTGGGTGAAGGAGTCAGTCCACAGAACATAATTTGGCCAGGGCTGACTTGCACTTTTGCTCTCCAGCCTTCTGTGGCTAAATGGCAGTAAGTCAGATAGGAACAGACTTTGGACCACAAGCTCTGGCTTATCAGGACGCAGTTTAGATGAGACATCTCATGGTTTGGAATACAGCAGTCCGTTCTGCTTCATAGGAAAAGGACAGTGTCAAAGAGGGGTTACCCAGTGAATAGCTCGGTAGCCATCATTTCACTTTACCCCTATAGTTTTTAATAAGAGCATCCTGTGTGTGTGGATATGGGGAAAGCTGGGCTTGAGGGACATGCTAAAAGGAATAGTATCTGTGACTGTTGACAGCAAGCTCACAAGTTTGACACTGGTCTAACCAAGTCAGCCTGCAGAGGTGCTGACCTATTGGCCTTCCTACCTACTCAGGTGCTTCAGGTTCCCATCCCTGCCACCTACCCCACCCCGCCAGTGAGACTTCTGATCAGAAGTCGGTAGACAGGAGAATTCAATGTTGGCACATGGATGAAAGGATGAGGCAAAGGACCTACGGGTTATCTAGTAAACAATAAAAAAGCTACCTACCCACAACGATTTTCCCAGGCCAACATCACAGGAAAAGAACCAAGTCATCACTTGCTTCTGCTGGCCCAGTATGTGTGGATACTCCCTGAGTGGCTGGAAAGGTGGGGAGCCACCAATATGAGGACCAGGCAGGTGCCCAGCTCCTTATCACCTTGGTCCACCAATCTCCACACCCCATGCTTCTACCTCCAGAGCCCTTGAGATAAGACCTAAGGAAGGATCCTTGGGCTTCACATTAAACCACCTTGCTGCCAGTGGAGGTCTGACGGGATCCAATAGTTGTTACTAAGAAAAAAGTGCTTTTGCAAAAGGGGCAGTTAGAAACGAGAGGTGATAGGAATATTCTTTAGAAAAACTCTAATCCCTCTGCTTATCAATACCCAAAAGGCTGAGGCCACCCAGGGCACAATCTGCAGTTTGGTCCACGGGAATACTGAGTGGAGGAGGCGCCCTCACTGCCTGACTCACGGAGCAATTAACCATCCTTTTTGGCTGGGGGAGCATCAAAGAGCCGGACTGCCTTCTTGCACAGCAGAGAGAACCAGTAGAGCTGGGGAGCGATGAGGAAGGCGTTGGCCACATTGCAGTAGAAAGGAATGTGCAACGGCACTTGGAGCAGGCTCAGTCCCTGCTGCTGGCCGTAGGACCAGTACATGAAGGGGAAAAGGAGGATCCGACATAAGAAGAAGGTGGTCAGCGTGAGGATTCCATTCACCTTGTACAACAGCGTGTGCTGCTGCTTTAGCTGCAAAAGAGGGAAGGAGAGCACAGGGTCACTTTCAGGGAATGACTAGCCTGAGTCCCACAACGGACAGGCCAAGCGTCTCCTTTTCGGACACTTGTAGAAAAGATGATTGAGCACTGCCGTATTTGTATATGCAGAGAGCCTCATATTGTTTCCAACAGTGATGTGAAATTTGATCTAAGCCACCCAGCTGACAGGAGCACAGGAACAGTGGGTTAGAGAAACTCTGTGACCAGGAAAAATATATATGAAGAACTGGATCAAATTTGAATCAAATGTACAATTTTTCAATCCCACTGGCTCGAAAGACCAACTGACCTTTAAGTCTGTTCAAGGGTCTCCTACCCCACTACTGGTAGCACTAAAGAAGTTTCTCCAAACCCTCTTAATCTACCAAGAAGACGCAGAGTCTGTTCCCTCGGCACTCTTTCTGCCACTCCTTTCATACGTGCCTGAATCAGAACTCTGCCCAGCGACACAAACGGAGTACTCAGTTCTGCCATGAAGATGCAGCCAACAAAGAAGTCCCCAAGCTCTCCCCTAAGCCTCTGCAGAGGAAAAGAGGAAAAAGGGAAATAAGTAATGGAGGTTAAGGAACCACCGGAAGGAAAATTCTAACTAGGGCTATTGAAAAGGGTAACCCTGAGCAACCATGCAGGGAAATGGAAGTGCTAAACGGGCCAGTGCAGACCAGTTCACACTGTGCAGCCTCCATAGCAATGGCACTTGGAATCCTTATGGTCCAGAGGCAACTGCATCACACACTGAGCTTTCTCTAGAATTTCAGTGTCAGCCAAAAGGAACTCTGCAGCCCACTTTTGGGTATCCAACTTAGTCATGCCAAGGGCAGGCACTTAAGCCAGTTCAGTTCCACGAAATATGCACCAGGGCCCATGCCTGATGTTAGGGTCCCCAACACAATCAAGAGAGACTTATTAAAGAATGTCATGCACTCTACCTCTCCTTTTATCCTTTCAAGAAAGCAGTATAGGGAATTCCCTGGCGGTCGAGTGGTTAGGACTCGGCACTTTTGCTGCTGTGGCCCAGCTTCGACCCCTGCCTGGGGAACTAAGATCCCACAAGCCACAAGGCGCGGCCAAAAAAAGAAAGCAAGCAAGCAGTATTGGGATAGCAGTTCTGTCTCTTAGTACCACCGAGCGAGGTACGTAACTCATAGAGCCCCCGTTTCTTCACCTATGGTATAGGGCTAATAATTTCTAATTATCATTTCTAATTATTTCTAATAATTTCTAATGATTAGAAAGCAACAAATTTTTTTAAGATTTTTTTTTTGATGTAGACCATTTTTAAAGTCTTTATTGAATTTGTCACAATTTTGCTTCTGTTTATTGAATTTGTCACAATTTTGCTTCTGTTTTATGTTTCGGTTTTTTGGCCGTGAGGCATGTGGGATCTTAGCTCCCCGACCAGGGATCGAACCCGCACCCCCTGCGTTGGAAGGTGAAGTGCTAACCACTGGACCCCCAGGGAAGTCCTCAAGCTACAAGTTTTTAAATCAAGCACCTGTCACCTGGTAGGCACTTGGGAATTACTAGTCTCCCCTCTGCATTCCCATTTCTCTTCCTTGTTGGGTGAGTTTTTTTAATGGGAAAAAAATGGATCTGGGGAGAAATTATGAGGCTATTTGCTTTGAGAGTCTGTGCTTTTGTGACATCAAAATAATGCAAACAGCCCTCTCTGGGCACTATCAGAGCAAATAACCAGTTGATGGAGCTACTCTCATTTCTTTAAAACAATTTTTATGTTGTTTTGTATTATATATTGGTTTTATATTGTATGAACTAAAGGCAGAACCTTTGACAAATGCTCGGGTATCACAGAGGGCTGGGGGATTGCCAGTAAAGAGGATCACAGACATTTCAGATTTAATTCCTTTCTACACTGTGGCAGCAGCTGGCAGGAGGGCAGTGGGGGCAGCAGGAAAGGGGAAGAAAAGGGGGCAGTCTGACAGTTGGGACACCCAGTTCAACAGGAGAAACGAGTGGCTGAACCTACTGGTGCCTGTCCTAGGAGGCCATTACCTGTGCAACCGGCACAAGGACAAACAGAATAACTGCGTGGTGCGTGATCATGAGGCGGTTTTTACTTAGGAAGTTTCGAAAAATGGTGAGGGGATGTTTGCTGCTCTGGTCCCCGGTTCGGTACCATTCACAGAGGTACATGGCGTAGGAGTCATAGATCATGTATGGAATCAAAAACCAGACATACTCTCGGGCAAGCCAGTGCCTGAAAGAAAGCATATGGATGGTCCAAGAAGTAATTATGGATATCAGTTATGAAGGCTCACAGCCAGCCTCTTCTTAAACATATCTGCATCAGCTTTGTACTTAATCAGCCGTTTTTACTCCAGATACTTTACAATGAACATGCTGAAGCTGACAAATAAGGAGAGTGAACAACTTTCTCTAAATTACAGGGCAAACTCATAAGTGTCAAAGGTAGAAAGCAAGGATTCACTCAGCACCATGTGTTTCAGTGACTTGCCGTCACTATTTGCCTGGTTTAGCTACTCATTTGTAATGGATTTTCTGGTACTTTGCGATATAAGCTGACTTTGATAGCTATTTCTACCAGTGATTCAACAGACCCACCAAGAAACAGGTTTGGAAAGTGACCCAAATCCCAAACCCAGTATTTCCAGTTGAACTCTACTCAGTTGCTCAATAGTTGGGACATTACTCTTGCACCTGTTTGCGACCCCACTCTAGGGAGTTTCCAGGAAGTAACCCTGGCCACTTTCTTTACAATACTATGGCTAAACCCAGTTTCACTCAAGAAAAATATCTCTGGAAACAAGCCCAGAGCTCAAGGACTGCCTTACAGTAGATAGATACCAAAAGAGAAGCTAGGACAAAAGACAAGTGTTCCCATTTACTTGTCCAAAGGGGTTGAACCAATATTTGCTGAGTCAAAATGATAGTTTATCACTGTCCCAGAGCAGATTAGAAGGTAAGTCTCTACAATTTCCAAAATTTTGTTCCCCAAATAGTCACTCTACAGAAAATCTACATGAAAAAAAAAAAAACACTCTAAATTGAAATTATGTACTATCCTGGGAAGGATTAGACTAAGTCAGCAAAGTTTTATCAAGCGCCCATGTGTTAGGTAGAAGAAACCATTTAGTTTTATGGTTCTTAAACTACCTGAACATCAGAATCGCCTGCAGTGCTTATAAAGGGCTCCACGCCTCAGAGACCAAACGTGGTATGCCCAGGACCTCAAATCTGTATTTTTAACCTTGTCTTCATTTAACCTAAGGAGCCAGTCCACTGAACTGCAACATTGGGAATATAGAGTGCCATTCACATTTCTGTTCCTGAATGATTCCACACTTACCACAGCGAAACTAAATAATGAGTAAACAGTGAAATAGGCAAACAAGTAATGGCAAACTTAATATACATTCAGGTAAATTAATTAGCCAAGTTCCAATGAGGCAAAAAGATGCAATATTTATTCTACTGCCCATCTGTGCTCTCCATCGCTTTCTTGAAGCAATTCCAAAGTAAAACAACTATGAAGAGCAATTAAAAACTCATCTGAAATATAACTGACCTCTCCCCTTGCGTGGAGCCTAGGGTTTTAAAATTTTGCACACAGTACCAATTCAATAAGATGCGAAATTGTGGCTGTTAGTTGAATTCCCTGAAGACTTACCAGCAAGCGATCTGGATTATAATCTTAGCTAACACTAGCCTGGACCTTAAGTTTTGTTTTTGTTTTTGTTTTTGCGGTACGCGGACCTCTCACTGTTGTGGCCTCTCCCGTTGCGGAGCACAGGCTCCGGACGCACAGGCTCAGCGGCCATGGCTCACGGGCCCAGCCGCCCCACGGCATGTGGGCCCTTCCCGGACCAGGGCACGAACCCACATCCCTTGCATTGACAGGCGGACTCTCAACCACTGCGCCACCAGGGAAGCCCGACCTTAACTTTTTTTATAAAATGAAGATAATTAAAAAAAAAAAAAAAAAAAAGATAATAATCCTTGTCTTACTTTCCTGATGAAGTTATTGCGAAGATTAGAAAGTTAAAAGTATGAGAGTACTTTTATTGTTATTAATTTTTGGCCACACCACGCAGTTTGTGGGATCTTAGTTCCCAGACCAGGATCGAACCCAGGTCCTCGGCACTTACTTAAATGTAAGTGAGCTGTGTGGCCAAAAAAAAAAAAAAAGCGCTTACACTGAGAAATAGGGATCTGGGTCTCTTTAAGGAGCTGATGAAACCCCTGGCCCCGCATCACACCCTGCAGATAATCTGGGAAGATTCATAGACACCCCCTCCTACCTACATTCTATATGAAGGCCTAAAATTAAAAGACATAGAATAGAGAAATATTTGGATGTACAGACTATGAACCCCAAAAGGCTTTTTTTTTTTCAGATGATTAGGTGCCTTTAGAGCATCCTTGTGCATCCATGTAAGTTGAGGGCACAGAAGGTGGTGTCTGTCTCTATTTTGCAAGTAGAGGATGAATCTAAGGCATAAAGATATACAAAAGGAGGACCCTAAAAGCCAAACTTAGATTTGCTACCATGCTCAAGCCACTAAGACACATGGCTTCTGAGGGGAGAACACAACCGTGCTACAGAACTGAAAGTTAATTGTGTGCAGATCTCTTCCTGAAATGTGTAGCAGCTGCCTGCTGCTTGCCCTCAAGTGCCGTGGGGGCTGCATCTGTCTTAGCTTAATCTCTGCAAAGGAGGCAGGTTTCAAGTTTGACCTGACAAACTGGGGGCAGTGAGGGAGCTTGCTGCACCATCAGGAAATGCTCAATTAAAATAAAAATTGAACCCAGCTGAGAAAATGCTGTTAGTCTTTGGTGTATGCAATCAAAGTCACTTGACCTATCTTCTCTCAGCATCTACAATTCATCGCCAATAACTGGTTTTCTCTAAAAAAAAAGGCAAAAGAAAAGCATGAAAATCGTGATGGCAGGGTTAATCCCAAATAAGAACCAGGCACTAAATTTGCAGGACACGTAATAGAGTCAACACGAGAAAGGGATCAGGAAAGGCTATTAACTTTCCCTGCACATATGACAGTTGCTCTTCAACTTAACTGTGAGGAGGAAAGGGTGATTCTAGGAAGACAGGTGAAAAGGATGGCTTTGAAAGGATGGCTTTAAAATGGGGTGGGGGGGCACACCACTGTTACCCAGGTCTAAATGCTATACAAAGTAGACCAGCCTGGTCGCTATAATTTGTTTCACTGAATGCACATTTCCTGTCCTGCCTGTGGACTGAACTTTCACAGCCATTCGAGTCAGTTTTCTGAAAGCTCCAGAAAACTCTTCATCACCTTCATCTTTCAGAGGAAAGACAAGAGCAGCATTTGTAAGGAAAGGGGTGGTGGATTTGTTCCTTTCCATAGCAGGGCTCTGCTAACCACACATCCTATCTTGGCCAATGAATGCTCCACAGCAGAACCCCAGGGAGATCATTTAAAAGAACCAAAAGCCATACTTCCACTTCTGAATAATTTTCACATTTATCTATCGCATAAAGAACCTGGATCGTTGGACCACACTGTCCTCTAACACGCCACCTTAAATCAGACTCAGGCTCTGTCATGGTCTAGCATTTCTTCAGTTTACTTTCTCCTAAGCTGGCGATGCTGAAGGTGAGGAGAGGAGGAGGGAACTAGTTATGGTGCCCAAGTTTCACCCATTAATCAGCTGCCTGACGGCACATGCTGATAAAGAACTAGGACCTGTGAGCCACTCAAATGCGGAAGCTTCGAAAAAGCCCAGCGCCGTGATCTGTGTAGCTTTCACCTGGCATTGGATGTTACCTGTCGGTGATCACGTGGCTACAGGAGCGGATGATGATGATCCCAGACCCGGTGGCCAACACAGCCTGCACTGAAGAAACCAGCCTAACGTGCGACAGAAAAGAGAAAAGGGGGGGTGGGGGGACGGGAAGAGTGCTCAGTGCAGTCCCATGGACAGCATGAAGCCAGAACTCTTCAACCTGACTTCCCCAGGCCGCCAGGGCGCCGAGGAAAACGGTAGGGCCGCCGCCGCGCTCCCGACTCCGAAGGCAGCTGGCAGATGTCAGCATCGGGGAGACGTCCCTCCCAGTCCTCATCAGCGTGGGCAGCCCCCCACCCTCCAGCCTGCTCCCGCTCCACCCTCCTCCGCCTCCTTCCCTCCGGGGGCCGGCTGCACAGGGTCCTCGCAGCGCTCCGGCCCGCGCCGTGGACTGGGCGAGGACCCGGGAGGCGGCCCCCTCGCTTCCTGTCGTCCCCCTTTTCCGCCCTGGGCTCGGCGTTGGGCGGACGCGGCCGGGGCGCGTGGTCGGGCGGCGGCGCGGCCTCGCCCCGTACCTGGTGCTGATCAGCACGCAGTCGTTGTGGGTCCAGGCGGGCCGCGCGCGCCGCAGCCCCCAGGTGCAGAGCCCGAAGAGCCCCGGGAAGAGGAGCGAGCCCCAGGCCAGCGGCAGCAGCATGGGTGCTCAGGCTCGGCCGCCTAGCTCCTCCGCCCTCCGCCCCCCGCCCCGGCCCCGGCCCCGGCCCCGGCCCCGGCCCGCCGCGACTCCGGCAGCCGCCGGGCGCTGGTCCCGAGCCCGCGGCGCCAACTCCCCGCGTGACCAGGCCGCGGACCGCGATAGGAGCGGGCTGGCCGGGCGGGGCGGGGTCTCGCCGCCACCGCCTCTGGGCCCCGAGGCTTCCCCTGGTTTCCCGGCCGGCGAGTAGGCGGCAGTGGGAGCTGCTGCCCGCCGGGCCCCGAGTGAGCGGACGCTGCGCCCCCGACCTGGAAGAAGCGGCCGAGGCTCTCGGGGCTTCTGTTCCGTCACCGCGGACGCTTCCCCCTCCCTCGGGGACCCGCCTGGCTGACGAACTGCCCCGCACCTGCCCACCGGGCGAGGAAGGGGAGATGGGGGAGGTCCCGAGAGGGCCAGGTAGGAAAAGGCTCGGGCCTAGACCCCCCGACCAGCAGGGTGGGGTGAGCCCGCGGGGCAGGGGCGTGGCCCGGCGCGAACAGGGCGGTGGGCGTCTCTCCAGGCGAAGGAAGGAGAGGGCGGGTGGGCTTGAGGCCGTCTGCTCGCCTGACTTATCTATGAAGCACTCTCGCTTCCAAGTGGGAGGCTTAAGGAAATGGTCTTTCTGCCGGCCAGAGATGGCTTTTCCACGTCCTGCCAACCGCCGAAATTTCTCCAGAGGAGCATCGATCCAGCAGTTCCTCTCTCAAGCCACACATCGAGGTGGAATCTCACGGCTGCAGACTTCCCGTGGTACTGCGGTACTGTGTCTAGGCTTTGGGTCAAGATGCTGTCCCGTCTTGGTGACTGTTTTGTTGTTGTTGTTGACAGCGTTGTGCTTACTTCAAAGTTCTTGGGCCAAATGCCCTGAACTTGGGTGGGCGGAATCGAATCATTTTCACTCAGCACCAGTCACATGGCACCAATACAGTAACTTCAGTATTACCGGCTTCTCTTCTCTTGGGACTTGCCAGAGTTTTACTTTGGTCTGTATCTTCCTCAGCTTACAAGTGTGGAGGGAAAGACAATTCATTTATGTCTACAGCAATTGAAAGGTACTGTGGGTCTCTTCAAATCACCATCATGCAAAATGCTAACCAAAGCCCCATAAGAGTACTTTGGAACAGCTGGGCTCAGCCTCCCTGGGCCAGTTTCCTCATTTGTGAAACGAAAAAGCCGAATTACAAGTTCTCTTTCGTTCTTCCAGCTCAAAATTCTTAAGATTCTATGACTTTTATAAGGTAACATTATTTCTTTAGATGTCAATTAAATTTCTCTAACATGGCAGTTGCTGGTGTAGAAGCCGATGTAAACACAGCTTTTAACGTCGTATATGTGGTTAAGGTGAGGGATTTAGGAAGCAACATTAAGGAAGCAGAAAACCCAAAGAAAAGTCTGATGTTTCTTCCACTTAGGGCAACATCTCTAACTCCCAAATTCACCGGTAACACCCTTGGTGAAATAAGGAAGATATTTCAATTTGGCATCAAGATATCTGGCAAATAAAAAGCTTTCTGTACATTCACATTTGCATGTGGGTAAAGGACAGCTATCTTCCATTCTCTCCAGAACAACAAATCCTTCTGCATTGCAATTTCTACTCCCTATCCGTTTATCCCAGTCTCCTCCGGCTCCAGCTTTTCCAGAGAGGGACAAGTGGTCACAAGTCCTCCCTGCCTTCTCTTCTTAAAGGGATCAGCAACATGCATCAAGTATGACAATACTTTTCAGTGATGGGAATCAATCTACTCCCTATGCAAGAAGTCGTTTGTACAGTTCTTAAGGAGTCTATGAAATGAAAACAAAACAACAGATGTTTCATGCATAGAAAATAACCAGTAAAATCAGCTTCCAACACCATGCTCATTAAGTCACCAAAATGTTTAGGTTGAATCACCAGAAGGGCAACAAGCATAAAGTGAGCCCTGGCTTTTCAAGTGGGCAAACAATAAAGTCAAAAAGCATCAAGCTATTTTTTACACAAACTTCTATTCACCCTTCGGAAGTCTTGAGTCAAATGTTTCCTCCTGCAAGAAGGTTTCAATTTACCTGTCTCTCCAGGCAGGTTTATAAGTTCATTTTCTAAACTGCCTTTGCATTTGAGTAGTGAGCAAGTTGGTTTTTATTTGTATGCGCTTTCCTTGAAACAGGACCATGTCAGGAATTCCCTGGCAGTCCAGTGGTTAGGACTGGGCGCTCTCACTGCCAGGCCCGGGTTCGATCCCTGGTTGGGGAACTAAGATCCTGCATACCGTTTGGCGTGGTCAAAAAACTCCCAAAAAACAACCAAAAAAACCCAGAATCCTTTTGTTTTCTTTCCTAAGTTATACCTGGCACATTGCAAGCACTCAAGAAATGCTTGATACTTTTTAAAGCTAATGCTTATTGAGTACTTACTATGTGCCAGGTACTGGATCCAACATTTTGCATGAGTTATCTCATTGGTTCCTCACGAAAAATCTGTTGTCCTCATTGTGTGAGTGAGTGTGTGTCTGCAAAATGAGACCCAAAGCAACTAAAATATTGCTAAGGTCACACTGCTGGTAGCAGAGTTGGGATTTGAATTCAGTATTTTCTGCCTTCAAGGTCAATGTGCTTAATGACTATTCTGCCTTCAAACTTGATAAGCAAGGAGAGAGTACATAATTCTTTTTCACAATGTGGTTTCTGATTAATAACCACTGTTCCTAATTGTTTACCCACAAATATAAATGTGTGGGGTGGAGTTTATGGGTTCTGATGCTGCTATTATTAACACCATTTTATATTTATATATAACTTTATAATTTTTTTTTTTTTTTTTGCGGTACACGGGCCTCTCACTGTTGTGGCCTCTCCCGTTGCGGAGCACAGGCTCCGGACGCGCAGGCTCAGCGGCCATGGCTCACGGGCCCAGCCACTCGGCGGCACGTGGGATCCTCCCGGACCGGGGCACGAACCCGTGTCCCCTGCATTGGCAGGCGGACTCTTAACCACTGTGCCACCAGGGAAGCCCTAACTTTATAATTTTTCAAAGCACTTTACATGTATTATCTCACTTGGTTCTCAAAATAACCCAGTGAGGTAGGTGAACATATTATTTTCATTTTATAGATAAGGAGACTTGGACGCAAATGGTAAACTGAATTGCCACCCTACGAAGTGGCAAGTCTCACATTAGGACCCTGGACTCCTGATTCATGTTCCAGGGTGATTTCAGTTACTTCATGCTGTAGGGTTGGGATTTAAGGAGGTTTTGATTATGCTTCCTTTGTGGGTTTCAGGCAGGAGCTTGGGTTACTGGATGTTAAGACTTATTTACCAAATCAGAGTTACACCCCTTGAATGGGAACTAATAAAGCTCCCAGTTTGGGAGGGCTGTGGTGGGATTTCTAGGTGGTTTCTTCTGCCACTGAGGTATATGATCCTGTTTTTTGGCCCCCATCTCTTCCATTCCTTTAGATCCCAATCTGGATACCATTAGGGGATAAGATACACGACTCTCCCCACGTCTGCTCCCTGGTTTCTCCAACCTTAAATTGAAGATTCCATATTTACTTGTAGAATGGTTTGAGAATACTCAAGTGAATATCATTAAGATATGTGATGTGTGGGCTGCTACCTTGCATCTATTGCAGAAAAGGTTGAGATTCACACATGAAACATCTTCACATCGAGCATCTGAACCGAAAAAGAACTTGGAGGTCTCCATCCACTCATCTACTTTAAAAGTCATAACAGAGAAAATGAAACATTTCTGAAATGAAAATTATTTTGTTTAGAACCTCACTTCCTTTCTGCATTAGGGACAGGTGAAGCAGAAACAGAGCAGGAACGAGGAGAAAAGGAGAAATGAAGTGATAGGAAGAGACATGGAGAGAAAGATACAGCACAGAAAGAAGATCCACCGGAAGAGACTGAGATAGATACAGGGAATAAAAAGGCCAAGATACAGCCTTCAACACAAGAGAACAGGCATAGAGATACAGATCCAGAGATTGGAATCCACAACAAGCGAACAAGAGGAAAAGGGCTGTAAGACGTAGAGAAAGATGAAATGAGGCAGACAAAGAAAGTGATGGCCGTTAATGGAACATCACTCCCTTCAGGCTACCATCAGCAAAAGCCAGACAGCATTTCAAGGAGGCACCTTGCTCTCAGGACTCAGAGTGTGGCCAGGAGGAAGTTAGTTGCCTTCCTTTTTTTCCCCCCTTGTACTTTGCATTCAGTAACAGCACCTGATCAACACCTTTTACTGATACCTGCATTTGTGTTTCCCCTCCAGACTGAATGCTCCTGATGGGCAGGTGGGGCCTATCTATCCAGGAGGCAGCCATGGCAGCTCCAGGGTTAGGAGTAGAGGACCTGAGTGCCCGTTTTGGCTCTGCTACTCGGAAGGTGTGTGACATGGAGAAAACTACCTACCCTTCCCTGTAAATGGGGGTTCCCCTACCTAACTCACAGGGTGGCTGTGAGAATTAGGTGAGATCTTTTCAAAAATCCATGTAAACTATATGCAGGGCAGGGACTGCCCTGGCGGTCCAGTGGTTAAGACTCCACGCTTCCACTGCAGGGGGCGCAGGTTCGATCCCTGGACCAGGAACTAAGATCCCACATGCCACTGGAGCAGACCAAAAAAAAAAAAAAACTATATGCAGGGCAGAGGCCAGGATTATTGTTCTTTCTCTTGGTATCCCCACAGCACAGTTACTTGCTGGTAAGCTTCTCAATAAACATCTATTGGGGTGAAGCTGCCCCAGGCCTGCCTTAGCCAGCTTCCAGACTGCAGCCTCTTCAGTTATATCCTGGGCTATCTGCGATAGCAAACTGTGAGTCCGAGAAGCACAGTAACACCCAAGCACGTGGCTTCTGCAAACAGTGGCCACAGCTGCACACCACAGGAAGGTCTTTGCTTTTGTACACAGTAATAATGATCCCTGTCAATAAAAACCATAATTTACACAAACGCGTTTCCTTTGCTATAAATGCAAAAATTTGCTTGTTTGCAGATGGCT